TAAAGGCAAACGACGTGGAACTTGTATCTGACATAATTACGAAGGAACGCCGATCACGTCCACTTCCAAACGCAGCAAGGATCTCGCTTCCCTCTCTCTAATTGCGAGAGACGTCGAGATCCACTTGATAAATGATCCCCGAGCTCGCCTCTTCCTTCGATCTGGGAAACTACGCTTCACGAACTTGTTTCACACTTTTTGAAAACACTTTTTCCTCCTCTATCCTCTCTCCATGTACGTTTCCCCCCCCTCTGTCCGTATTTGCTTTCGAGAAGAGAACTCTTATCCTTTAATGGCCTCGTGCCACACCTGTTTGCCAATTCGTAATATTTGTCCACGTCTATGTTAAACGGTTTCTAGTAAAACGGGTTAGTCGTTCCGTTCGCAAATTATATATTGTTCTTGCTCGTTCGAGCAAAAGTGAAAAATTATTTTACCAGCATGGATGAAATCGACCATGTGGTTCGATCTTCGATCCAGATTTCTAGATTTCCGGGAAAACTTTGCAACGATATGCAAATTTGAGGTTCTCTTGGAGAAACTCTCTGGGACAATTAGGAGAGAGAGAAGAAGAAAAAAAAGATTGGTGAACGGTTGCATAGTAGCAATTAATAGGAGAACAGACTATGGTTTCTTGATTAATTAATTTGCTAATCTCCTCGATTAATGCGAACCGGTCTTTCGAGAGTACAGAGAAGAGGAAAAAAACATTCACTTTTCGTGGGAATAATAAGTCCATATCTCGAGATAATAATTATCTTTTAATCTCGCGATTTAAATTCTCCCACATACCTTTCACTCGTAAATCAATGAGTCAAGATTCGAAATTGGTTTGGAACGCGGGCGTCCTTGGGAAAAAGCGAATTTACGAGATGCAAAATCGTCTCGTGGAAGCGAGTAGGTGTAGAGGAAGGTAAACAGGGGAGGCGTTAATAAAGAAATAAAAATTCTCGTTAATTTCGCGTCGATATAATAAAAGCGTCGCACGCGTGGCTCGAAGATATCTTGCTTTATTGCGTCGCGATTCCCTGCCAAAGAATTCGTCGTCTCTTCGATGAAACGCGTATTGGATGAAATTCTCGAGACGAGGAGGCAGGCCGGAAGTAAATATTTCCGAGGAGGAAAAACCGAAGGCGGGCAGATGGAAAGTAACGAGGTCCTGGGAAAACATGGACGAGCTCGAACGAGAGAGAGGAGAGCCATTCGTATATCTCATCGCACGATGAAACGAGAGACAGATTTTTATTGGCGATTCCATGGCCTACGTGGCGGCCATTCGAGGGAGCAAACGTTGTTCTTCTGCGTGCCTCCGATCGATACCGTTTAGACCGTTTAAACGTTGCAAATTGATTGAAAACCGTTCCAGCGATGTGTCGTCGATGAAAGTCAAGCGACTCCTCTGGAACTTGGCAAAGTTTTTCAAAAAATTTTTCCAACCTTTGCTTATATCGATAAGGAGAGATCGATGAACGACGAAGAAGAAAGAAGGAGAAAGTTCGATAACGAGGGGGACGATTCTTCTTGGGAAGAGTTATCGATCAATGACCCCCTCCCATAGCGTTTCGTGAAAGTTATCAACCCTGTTGGGGACGATACCCTGTTTGGTACGATATAAGATTACACGTTCGATACGCTATTGTTTCCTGGTCAAATCTTTGCCTCGTTTCATGTAGGATGGGGGGAGGGGGGCCAGCGATAACGGATACAAAGCGCACCATAATCGTACGCCGCTTAATTCAATCTGTCGTATCGGTAATAAGCCGTGTTTGGTTTATCTGGGATCGCACACGGGGTCGCATAATTCGCATACCGAGATCGCATCGGCGATCACGCCCCGAACGAGAACACGAAAAACCTTGCGAAACTCGCTTCCTCGAGTTCCTCGAGCTATCTTTATCTCCATAATGAAATTTCTTCTTACGCGAGAGAGAGAGAGAGAGAGAGAGAGAAAGAATCGCGTCGAATGGAAGAGTCTGGTCTCTTCTCGAATGATCGATCGGTGGAAATAGGTCGAGAGGATTGCCGATACGTCAAAGGGAATCGTCGAAGGACGAACCCAGAGAAACGACACGCGCTTCCAGCCGTGACAAAGCGTCTTCAGGGATGAGATTTCACGGAGTTGGCGAGGATCGATTCCTCCTGCTGGTGCTCAACTTTTGATGCGCGCCGCGTCTGGAATACGCCTGGAACGAGGAGGAAAAGAGGAGTAAGGAGAGATTTGGCCGGGGAGTTAAATCTAGCCAGGAAACCAGCAGGACTTCCAAGTCGTTTGTTAGCGCCGCCACGCCACTGGCAAAGTGCATTTCGCAGTTTACCGCAAGTTTCGCTACCTCTGCGGTAGCCGAGGTCTGTCTCGCAACCAGGCCATGGAGGAATATCGTCTCCAACGACAGGGCTTCGTCCGGGGGGAGCGAGATCTGGATAGCAGGATCGTCGAATCACGTTTCTGACGCTTTTAGCATCGAAAGATATTTCACCGTGGTTTCCATTACCTGGTGGAAAAACCTATCAACGCCGTTGCCCTCGATTTATGCAAAATCGATACGTATTGATCGTGCGTATCGCAGTCCCGAAATGTGTTATCGGCAGATTTGGAATAAACGCTTTGGCGAACTTTAAAAAACGCATCTCTCTCTTTCAATTGTGACACGTTAAAAAAAAAAGAATACTTTTCGAATCGCTTTTGAGAATTACTATTTTTACTATTTTTAATTTTAGGAAGTAAAATTGCACGATCGAAGGGAGAAAATTTACCAACGAAGCGATTCGCGCGAAATTCAGTGGAGCGCAAACTGTAGTGCACTGTAGTCCCCTTAGATTCGAATAATTCGAATTAGTGCGATCATAGAAAATCGCCCGAAGGACGCGAATTAATTTCCGCCAGTGTTTCGATCGGGTCGTTACGCGTTTTCGCATGTGCATCGTGGATAGGGAACAGAATTGACGATGCAACGTTGCGTTTATCCGACACCGTCCCTACCTCTGTCTCTGCGGTCAGTGTTCTATTTCCATGGAAATTCCACGTTGGGGAAGGGTTGGATAACATTGGAGAGATCATTGGCATTCGCGTATGGGAAAAGTTGTCGAAAATTCGTATCTCTCTGTAAACGGAGCGTAATGTTCTTCCATGATTGGAAGAAGCTCTTGTTCGCGTAATCATGCAAATGGTCGCGGAAGATAAGGGCCGGCTAAGGAAAGGTAAACTGGTCGTTCGAACGACTTTTGTCGAGGAAATTCAATGATTCCAATACTCCGTCCAAGTTAACGGGATGATACTCTACGAGAATTTAGAACCAATTACGAAGGAAATTTTCGAAGCTTATCCTCTAATTAAATTGTTTATACCGTGAAAAATAATTAAAATTCTTCGTTACTTTGAATACACCAGAATTCCATCTGTATAATTGGAATCCACCTACTTTTACTCCTATGATTTTTCATCCAATTAGTACTCATTTACTTAATTTGCAGGGATAATTTGTATTCCCAATTACAAAAACGTTTCTTTATATTTTCTTCTCACGATCACAGTGCACCAACCGAAATGCTTTATACAAAAATTCTTACCATCTTGCATACGAATTAACAATCGTTTTCATTTATATCCTTTTTTGTTGACGTAAATAAGTTGAAATAATCAAAGAGACGCGTTCAAATTTCCTCCGTGTGAAGGAAGAAATTTGGCGGGAGGCATAAAAATGCGAAAGAATTGGAAAAAGATCGGAAATTGTTGGAGGGATTCGAGGGAGAGTATTTGAAAGCGGTAGTCATCGTTCGTGTTTCATGGCCGCCGGCCGACCACGTTTCAACCTTCGTTCCTCCATCTGGCGGAGAGAGAAAGAAAGAGAGATTCCTTTCTTCAAAGTACTCCGGGTTGCTATGCCTCGCTCTCACCTCCGCGCAGCTGGCTAAACGTTTGCTCTTGCCTCCTCGCTTTTTCGGTGTGGTAATGCACTATGTAATAACGGTTATTTATAGGCAGTAAATGCCTTGTGCCATTCTCCGCGCCTTCCCTCTCCCCCACCGTTCATCGTTTCCTTCCTGCGATCGCCGCGACGGGCCACGATAATTCCTCACCGCCTTGGAATTCGACCGACTTTTATTTCCTCCTCCCCCTCCCCTCTTTTTCTTCACCCCTTCCACGCGATCTTTACCCCCTTCGAGGTGTAAGAGAATCCTCTCCTCCTCGATTACGCATCGTCTCGAAACTATATGATAATCTCGAGAAAAATGCATCGCAATTGCACGCGCGGTTTTAAAATAACATTCGTATCTGAACGGGACGAACGACTGCGCCATGCCGCCCGCGTTATTGATTCCCACGAAAATGGAACGAGTTTTATACGAGTTAGGCCGAATTTATCCCGACAGAGAGAGAGAAAGAGAGAGAGAGATAAGAAGATATTCACATTAGAAGGATGTTCATTTTCGAGAAATATCAATCGTTGCAAGTATATATATATATATATAATATATATATATATATATAACAAACGTAAAAAATTGTATCGATAAAGATCTTTCAGAATCTTTTGCGCGCGTCGAAGGTATAATTAACGATTGATGGGTCAATCGGATATGCCTCGAATCCTCGAGATAAAGCCGCGATCAACTGGTCGATCAGGAACAAAAGGAAATAATACACGGACGGAAGGAGGAAAGAAACTGAAAGAAGTATCGTTTTTCCAGCCGGGGAACTCGGTTGCCAGTCTACGAAGGGGGGTAATTCGCACTCGGCAGTTTCGCGCCGCGCCATCACGCCTTTATAAAGGCTTAGGAGGCTCCTTTGAAATCGTTTCTTTCCCTTTTTTTTTTCGCGTTTCTCACTCGAGAGAAAGAGAGTACTCTCGACGTCCATCAACGCCAAACGGAATAATTTCGCCATAAGTTCGTCATCGCCTTTTTTCGCGCCTACAAATTTTCCATCCGAGGAGCAAGGCCCCGATTCGATGAGCCAAAAAGCTTAAGATAGGAGGGGGGCGCGCGTTTTAATCGCTCACCTTGTTTGCCAAGTCCAGCATGTTGCCAGTCCCTCCCGCGGCAGCTTCCACCAGTTTCTGCAGAGTGTGGGGCTCCGGTGAGAGATCGCGTGCCCCGCTGTCGAATTCCCAGCGTTCATGCCGCCCGGATATGGTGCCTGAACACAAACGTGAACAATTTCGTGTCGCTTGCGAAATTCACCGCGCTTTACAATCTGAATCGGAATCGGAGTGGCGAATCAGGGCCGATCGAGAACTGCCGGCGTTCCATATCGTTCTCCTCCCGGGAGCGATCGAGAGGAAAATGGTTTCGGCTCGAGGAAGGCGAAGGAAAGATACTCACCGAGGCTGTTGTCGCTGCTCGTCGGCAGGTATTCGGGCGTGTGCGTGTGGTGGGGACTAGTTCTGTGCTTGCCGGACCTGAGGGCCTCGATCTCCGGTCGTAGGGCCAACCGACACCTCAGGAACTCTTGATAGGAAATGCGACCGTGCTCGTCCGCCCCCAATTCTCTCATTAACTCCTCCACCGAGTTCTCCAGATTCAGTTCCCTGCATACCGTCAGCAGATCCTGACTGAAATTTTTAAAAACGGGGGAAATAGCCTCGACTTATTTTTCAAATACGTAACTAAAGAAAAAGAAAAAATCCATAGAGGATGAAAAAGAATATATATATATAAATTTTAAACTTCTCCATCGAATTCTCCAGATTCAGTTCCCTGCATATATATGTTTCAGCAGATCTTGACTGAAATTTTTAAAAACAGGGGAAATAGGCTCGACTCGACCTGTCTTCGGGATCCAAAGAAAAAAGAAAAAAAAAACGCAAATACATGGAGGATGAAAAAGAATATATATATATAAATTTTAAACTTCTCCATCGAATTCTCTAGATTCAGTTCCCTGTATACTATCAGCAGATCCTGACTGAAATTTTTAAAAACAGGGGAAATAGCCTCGACCTATTTTTCAAATAAATAATTAAAAAAAAAGAAAAACGCAAATCCATAGAAGATGAAAAAGAATATATATATATAAATTTTAAACTTCTCCATCGAATTCTCCAGATTCAATTCCCTGCATATCGTCAGCAGATCTTGACTGAAATTTTTAAAAACAGGGGAAATAGTCTCGACTTATTTTTCAGATACGTAATTAAAGAAAAAGAAAAACAAATGGAGGATGAAAAAGAATATATATAAATTTTAAACTTCTCCATCGAATTCTCCAGATTCAGTTCCCTGCATATATATGTTTCAGCAGATCTTGACTGAAATTTTTAAAAACAGGGGAAATAGGCTCGACTCGACCTGTCTTCGGGATCCAAAGAAAAAAGAAAAAAAAAACGCAAATCCATGGAGGATAAAAAAGAATATATATATAATAAAGATTCGAGTTTCCTTCGATCGTCTCCTTCTCACATTCGTCCCCACAGTTTGCCACATCGGTCCTCATTAACGTCAAATCGCTGACCCGGCTCGGATCGAAGTCATCTGTTTTTCGCGTATCCGTTGAAACTAACGGCGTAACACTACGATCTCGACCCATGAATAATTTATTCCCTGAATAATTCATAGATGGAAGATAATACTCGCGGATCGCGACACCCGGCCGGACGTTCGCGAGATTAAAGAAGCGTCGCGCGAGGACGCGACACACACACATAGAAAGAAAGAAAGAGAGAGAAAGAGAGAGAGAGAGAGGCGGAAACGAAGACGAGACGGCACGCTCTCACCGTTTAAGCGACTTAATTAAAATCGCCACGCTCATAAACCGTATCCACGTCTCGCGTTCGCGGTGTCCGGATGTCTGTCGGATGGCAGGACCCCCTTAATTTCGCTCGACAGCGCGATGGAGTATCGGCGAGGCGCGATTAAAACGTCACCAAGCGGCGGGAACGCTTGGAAATCACGCGGAAGACGGACACGCGGGGCCGATCGATACCCGGGAAATTAAAGATTCAGCACGGAGCCGTGGAACACGGACATTCGGAGAAAATCGTTAAAAGGGCCTCTTTCTCTCCCTCTCTCTCTCTCCCTCTCTCTCTCTCCCTCCATCCGTGAACGTCGTGTCTTTTGTCGCGAATCGAGTTAAAAGGCGTGGTCCGGATACATAGGATTGGAACGTGGAATCCAGATACGGAGGCGTAACGTTTCTTCAACAATCGGCAAGAGCGTGGCAAACGAATGGAAACGTGTTTTATAATATTTTTTCTTTCTCCAACGAACGATATATCTCGTTGAAGAATTATCTTCTCGTTCCTTTGGTGTCCATCCGCTTTAAGAATACTCGCGCGATTCACTCGCTCGCGAGGATTCTTGGAGAAAAGGGACAAAAGAAGAAAACTCGAGATAGGACGGATAGAAGGGGAGGCGAGAAACTTTCCCGGGGAAACTTTCCTCTTCCGCGATGAAACTTTTCGCTATTTTTTCGGGAAGGAAGACGCCGATCGGATAACACGGACGGTTCATCTAATTCCCCGCGCCTCTGTGTTTGCTCAAGCACGTGTGAAACGCGAGAACGCGTGCCTCGTGCAACGAAGAGAAGGGAGGGAAGGAGAAGAGAGGCGTGCGGAGGAATTGCATCGCTCTGCAAAATGGAGAAGCTTTATTATTTCCTCGACAGCCGCGTCTTTGCGCGCCTTTCTATTCACGACACCTGCTATACATACATATATATATATATATATATACATATCACGCAATTTTAATCAACTTTCGTTCAACGGAGGAGTCTTGGAAAAAAAATGAAAAAAAAAAAAAAAAAGATCCTCGTTTCACACTCGATCGTATTCATCGTGGAATGGATGCTGAAGGCGAAGAGACGAGTGAAATTGCAATCAAAAGGATGACGAAACAAAAAGAAAAAAAAGAAAAATAAAAAAAAAGGGGAGAAACCGTCGACGCGGAGATCCGGTCGTGATTAACGGGACGCGATCAATGCGTAAGCATTATGTAATTGACGAGGAGTCGGGCGCATCGGTTCGAGCGCCATTCAGTAACCTGCCTCTTCAATTCCATTCAACCGATTTTCCTCGAGGTGGCCGCCACCTCGGGTTGCTCAAGACCGCACAGAAGCGCGAAGAAGCGCGCTTGCTTGCGGGAGAGACGCAAGTAGCACGCTCGAGATCCTTCGAGGCAACGGGTCGGATGCGCTTTAAGACGCTGAATTTCGCGAAAAGGGGATTTGGGTTAACGGCGAGAACCTGTTACGCGCCGCTTAGCTTGACGATCGTAAAATCGTCCCGAGTGAAAGCCGGCAATTCCGTCTAGCTCTGATTTTAAATCGAACCTCTCATCCTAGTTTCTTCGAGCGGTCCAACCAGCGACTCGAGGACCGAATCCGTCCAATTAGCTTCATTCTAGTTCCATTCTGCTTTTCGATCAGGTTACTCCCTTCCTCTCCCTCTAGGTTTCGAGGAAAGGAATCGAGGAGCTAATTTCGGACACGGCTCGCGGACCGAAGGCAAGTTGGCAAGGAGATTGTTATTGCTCGTCTGCGCGATACGAAATGAAATTAAATAGCGGTTCTTGACCCAAACGAGGAGCCGATAATTGATTGTTTTCAGCCGCTCGGGGCAACGGTGATTCTTCTTTCCGTAGTTCGTGCAGCGACTGGATTATCTCGCGCCACGAGGCCTTGCCTTTTATCGCGAAAGGGGAGCGACACGCGATATTTCCAGATATTTCGTATCTTCCCGAGTCGCTAATGTAATTGCAATTTCAAAATCGAACGAGAGAAAACTTTCTAATCCTCTCATATTCTTAGACTCTAGAATTAATAATACGATCATCAAGATCGTTATATCCCCTTCGAGCTACCTGCCACCAAATTATCCAATGAGTTGGATCCTGGACGAAAATTAAATTGGCGGTGTGATTGCGAAGATTACGTACCACCTGGAGATTTTCCTTTTGAATTTGCGAAAGGAGAGCCTCTCCAAGGTTCTGGATTCCCAGGTTTTCAACGACTCCATCATTCCCGCGGCCGGGCGTGGGCCGATCCCGACCGATGACACGCGCAATCGGACACGGTTCGGAGGTCTGGCCGAAGCGATGCAACGAGTGCCACTGCACGCGGCCTGTGCTGCATCGCGGTTCCACTTGCGACGCAAAACGAGGAGGGAAAAAAGGGCGGAGGAAGAGAGACGCGGTTGCTCGCGAGCGTGAAACGAAACGCGACTTAATCCACCGCGATGCGTGTCACTCGATGTCCCATGTGCGGTTTTACGGTTGACACGCGGCTTTATTTTAAACACGCGCGCGCGCGCACACACACACACACATACACGCTCCTCGCTTCTTCCTCCCAGAGGAGACCAGTTCGCCTCGAGATACTCTCGATCGACTGTGAGAACGCATTGGATAATCGTAACAAAGTTGACGATTTTACGGTCTGGTTAATCGACGAGGAGGATAATTCGTCCGGGAATTACGGCTCGAATCCTGACCACGGATCGAAATGATAAATTGACCAGAGTTGAGGAAAGAGTGGTCGTACGAAACGGAAGGTCTGATCTTGTCTTTTTGCGGGGGAGAAAAGGAAGGATAATTTTAAAGTCATCTCCCGAGAAATGGAATAGCGGTATCGATGAAGAGGGAATTGGGATCGATAAGGATAAGTGAAACCGCCCACCACGCACGCCTCGCCCCTCGTTTCGCGAAATTTTAAATATCGGTAAGAAGTTTGAGGACTTCGAGCGGGGATTGAAAATTACGTGGATGGGAAACGAAATGGCGGAACAAGGCTACGCCTACGTATCCAACAATGGTGCGATTCGATTGTCGGGATATCGAGTGACGATGTTAACGATTTTATGGATCTTCGAGGATTCGAAAATTACGTCGATGAAGGAGGGAGGGGGGAGGAGTAGGTTCGAATCGATAAGGATTTAATCGGGGAGGAAGGAAGCGGGTGGAACGAGATAACCGTTCTAGGAAGACAAAGAGACGTGTTAGCAAAAGCAAACAGCGTGTTCGATGCAGGGTGCAACGAACGAGGAACTGACAGGAGGAACGCGAGTCATTGACACCGCGTGCGTTTTCACTCGTTGCATTGTGCTCGAAAGTGGATCCACCAGAAGCTATCCGCGTAATTTTCAGTTCGCACCATTGTGCATCCGGCCTACCGATGTCTCCAGGAAAGTAATGGCGATCAGGAAACGCGGAGAGAGAAACGTGGATTTCGCTCTTTAAATCGACGTTCCGTTCTCGTTACGCGAGAAAAGTTATCTCGCGAGCTGATTTTTCCCAGTTATCGAGAATAACACGAGGGAAAATCTAATTTTTCACTGATGAAAATAGCGCAACAAATTGAATATCGTTATCGAACGATCCAAGGTAACGAATAAACCAATTAGAAAAGTTGTAAAAATTATATAACGTAATACAAGCAGATCGTGGACAGGTATATACGTAAGCAGAGGATCAAGATTAAGAGTGATGGATTTTCACGCGCGGGATCGCACGTCGGTGGAGAAAAATTTAAGCGATAAGCTGGCTCGGATATGAAGTTCGCAGGATGACCGGAGGAAAAACGAGTCTCCAGACACGGTACACGGCGTGATTGGACGAA